TCAATGGTGTCGAAAGCCGCTGAGAGGTCCAGGAGTATCAACAGGATCACATTCCCTGTCTCTCTCCCAGGAAAGGTCATCATACAGGGCGACCAAAGCATATGCAGAATTATGCTCAATTTCATACAAATGTAGGTAGAAATATTAGAGCAAAACAATGGTTTGAATGGGGTTTTTCCACTTTGCGATTATCGGTTCCCTGCTTCAGGAACCGATTTTTGCTTTATGACGATCAAAAACAGCTGATCGTCGGGTTTCNTATATAAAAGACCCACATGAAATCTCAGGCTACATTTCCACTCTTGAGCTTTTGATGAACTCACCAAAGCTTATTCTGTAATAAGTGTCTTCAGTACATATCAAGCCCTGTAGAAGCAAAGAACCTCTGTTGCAAGAGAATGTTCTTTCCCATTCATCTACAGTCCTTTATGAAAACCAGCTCCAGCAGATTCTCAGCCCCCCAGTTTGGTGGGTTAAAAGGGAGAAGGAGGATTGATCATTAGGTGATCCTGTTAATAGACAGTGAATGACAGCATCCCACTCCCAGCCTTAGTCTTGAAGGTGCTCCAGTTCTTTCAGTTTTGCTGCAGCAGATCAACACAAATACTCCTTTGCAAGTTAGAGTTCAACTAGATGGGCATTCGTTCCACAATTTATTCTGGGCTGGGGAGAGCTCGCTCACTCCTTTGCCTGGAGCCCAAATGTGCCATTGCCAACAATCCCATCACTGATTGATGCCTACCCACAACTTTTTTGGTCTTTCTCATGGGCTACAGGGTTTGTTTGTTTGTTTGTTTTGGTGCAGAGAGAATTGCTCCATTTTGTTTTGCTTCTAGCCTGTGCAATCGCTGGAATCAAAACAAAATTTAAGTTGTCCCTTTGCTAAAGCTTAATAAGCTTGAGAAATGAAAAGTTTGCTTCCCAATCCCCTGTGAAGAGGAAGAAACAGGAGGTTTTCCATTTCTTTTAAACTGTTGCTAATGCATCAGTGGTGCTTTGAAAGGTCTTTTCAAAAAGACCTTTCAATGCATTGCTGATGTGCTGCATCAGTATTTGAAAGGTCTTTTCAAAAAGACCTTTCAGTGCATTGCTGATGTGCTGCATCAGTTAGCAACAATTAAAAAGAAATGGAAGATGAAGTGGCTTACGGAAAGCACAGAGGAGAAGACAGAAGGGGATTTTATTTTTGCTTGCTTTTCTCTTTAAAGGGAAGGAACATTGGTCTGGATCATGCTAAACAAGTTAGCTTGAAGTGTCATGTGACTGATCCTTGCAAGCTGGTGCAAGGATTGCTTCAAACAACATACCTCAAAATGACTCTGTTCAGCACAACCTAAATTGATCCAGGATTTGATAATTGGGCCATCTACATCACAAGAGAGTCTTTAGATATTTACCTTAGGAATTTGTTGAGATCCCCATGCTTCATGTATTCGAAGACCATGATGAGAGGATCTCCTTCCACACATACTCCATAAAACTTCACAATGTGGTCATGCTGCAAGTTTGTCAGTAGTTCTGCCTCTCGATGGAAGTCTTTGCGGGCATTATCACTGGCATCTTTTAGCGTCTAGAAAGAAAAAGAATCCACCAAAATGGGTTGTGGAAGAACAGCAAAGATGGGGCCAGGAAGGTTTCTCATTGGATGGAGTCCCAGGATCTGGGAGCAGTGACAGAGAAGTGCATCTGTGAAGGTGGTGGGACCAAGAGAAAGGCATCCACCGGTGATTTTAATGCCTGGGCAAGTCCACAGATGGAAATGTTTTATTCTAGAGAGAGTCTGGTATTTTCTGGAGGTTTTTTGGGGGGAATCATAAACCTTCCTCTCATCCTTTCAGAAAAGGGGGCCAGTTTGCTAAATATTCTCTGAATATCCCCTGCCACAGTTTTACTGTACCAGCTCCCTATCCTACCACACAGTACCCTGGAATGCTTCTACATTTGCAGTGTTGTGAGGATGAAAAACAGGGGCTGGGCGACCCACACAATGGCCACAGCATGAATGAATGGATGGGTGGGTGGGTGGGTGGATGGATGGATGGATGGATGGATATTCAGGGGGGAGGGAACCCAGGTGTTCTGCTGCCACCTGAACACTGGTGATATCTACTCCTGAGAAACTCTTGGATAATTCCTCCTCCCCCTTGGAGAACATTTTGCAAAATAATACTTCCCACACACTTTGCCATTTAAGTCACACAAAGTAGCCTAAAGATGTTTGAGAAGCCATTTTCACTGAGTGGCAACATTCCCATCTATTTGCTTTTAGTAAAGAGAGGAAACTTTTTCAGACTACAGCTCCCAGAATGGGATGACTACATCATGCAGCATGGATGGTTTTTGTTCATAAGGTAACCTTTCCCATCTCTGAATGCTAGTTGGCTAATGGTGAGCTTATAAGTCACTGAAGTTCTAGTGAAAAATCTGCTCCCACAACCTGGTTCCAGAATTCCTGCAACCAAACCGGACTCTTTCCAGACAAACCAGAAGTATAACAAATATGGCAAAAACAAGGTTCTGTGTCTGTTGGTCTCTTTCCCCCCTAAAACCAAATGTTTTGATTACCTTTACTTACTTATAAAGTTATTTACTGATAGAAGCTGAGAATATTTGCTGCCTCCCCACCCCCGACACATTGCCCAGCACTTCATTTCAAATTTTAGTCTTCCCACAGGGCACAATAACTGCTATTTCCTAACATGCATACACAATACTCATCTGGGTTGCCCAGCAACCAACAAGAAGGCATGTCAAAGATCCAATGAATGAAAAGAAAATGTGACAATACTTGAACATTAAGTGAGATTATGCTTCCTTCTGGGGGCAACTTACTCAGATTCCTTTCTGCTGAAAACCTTACTACAATGGAATATTAGTCACAAAGTGCCCATTCCGGCTGGGAAAAATGAAGCTCCCCCCAACCAAATTATTCTTTTGTATAAAAGGAGGGTGGAATATCGCCTAGAATCACAGTTCAGTTTCCAGCCCAGCATATATTTTTATTCAGAAATTAGTTCCACTGTTCAAAAGATAAACACATTTGCCAATTATTGCTTCATTTAGTCCCTCATATTTCCCACTGTATGTCTGTTCTATGATATTTCTGCATCAGTTAGGATTTTTTTTAAGTTGGCCCCAAATTCTGTGTACATGTTCATGTCGCCTTCTGCTCAAACATGCATTTTTCTACATAATGTTGTCTGATATATGTCCTTTTCTATGCATTTTCCCAAATACAATATACATTTGTATGTTATTTTCACTAATATAATGGCTGGATAGCTCAGTGGTTCACGGCATATGTAGAGCCAAAGGTTGGATGTTCAATTCCCCTCTGTGTCTCCTTGACAGGGGCTGGACGCGATGATCCACAGGGTCCCTTCCAGCTTTGCAGTTCTAAGATGCTGCTGATGCTGATTATATACACAATTTTTGCCAACATATATGTGCACTTTTTTGACTGAAGAACTGCATAACAAAATTCAAGAGTGTGAGTATAGCTGTATAATTCTGTTTTCAGTGTATATAATGCTTTGAGTTATAAGTTTGTGTTAACTGTGAAATGAACAGAGTTGTTTTTCATTCTTACATTAAAATCTCGGGGGCTCACTTCCTGTTAAGTGAAGTGGCATATAGACAGGACTGTAGCCTCAGTGTGTGTGTGTGTGTGTGTGTATGGGTGTGATTATACATTGTGTGTGAAAGAGATTCGCATCACCTGCACTCTTACATTTCATCTCTATATCAAGGTGACAATTATTGTGTTAACAAGAGAGAGCGAGAGCAAGAGAGCTAAAACCTAACTACAAAGAAAGAGCTCCAGATCTGTCAAGTCTCACACCCTTTAGTCCCACTCGTCCTTTCAAGCTGTATTCACAAAACGTGCTGATGTGGGGAGGGGGAGGTAACCAGGTAATGCCCAGGCTTCTTCCCATGTCTTGTGTGCATTCATCATAGGACAAGAAAGGAGCTCTCTAAGCGTACATCCAACAGCTCTTTCATATGATTGGGAATAGGGTGGAAGACAAGGGTCCTCATGAATATGTAGGGTCTTTTTTTGGACCTTTTAATGAATGCACAAAACTGAAGCCAATGGGCACAACATTATACCTCCATACCATCTCTCTATGTTTTTGCTGAAGAAAGTTCATCAAGATTGCATTGCCTCAAAATAACATCAACTAACATCATGTTCACAGTTCAGAAGAAGATGAATACACAAAATACTTGGAAGATGTTTTCCCCTTGGTGGAACATTTTTTATCTGTTTTGTAGGGCTGAAAGAGATGGAACACTTTAAGAATGACCCAGCTTTTTGCTGCCTCAGATAAAGGAGGAGATGTTCACCATCCAAAAATGAAGCTAAGCTTCTGGATGTTAACAAGTCTTGGGGACAATTTTGTTGTAGTGCCCCATCGCTGCTCTGCTTCTCAAAGTTTGTTGGCAGCACTCCAACAAGTAGGAATAAGCAAGCTCAGGACTCTGGGAGCCCAATTTGTGCCACTATTGGCACAGAGATTGGAAATAGCTTATTTTTCTTCTGCTCCTGGAGGCCTCCAGAATGAAATTTGCTTCTATTTTTGTCTGGGGATGCTTCTGGGTGTATGTGAAAAAATGGCCTGGAGAATTAAATATGTCAAATCTCTTGCCTACTTCTCTTGTACAGGAACAATTACGATAGATAACAATGGAAATAGCTACAATTTGCAACCATTACAATCATGGTAGACACGTGTTCCTTTTACCTTCACTGCAACTAAAATTTTGTCCTGCTCAGGACACAGATTATAACATTCAGCCAAGAAGACTTTTCCAAAGGCTCCTTCTCCCAGTTCCCTTTTGAGAACAATATTGTGTCTCTTGATGTGCTGGACAACTGAAAAATAAAATACAACATGATTAGAAATCCATTAATGGGAGGAGAGAGGAGCAACAGGAGTTTGTGAAGAACAGTTTGCTATATTGCAAGGGTGAAGAATATGTGGATGTTGATGGAATCCCAGTTTTCAGCAGTTTCAGACAGCATGGCCAATGGTGGGAGATGTAGTTCAGCAACATCTGGAGGACTACACATCCCTCACCCCTCCGATACTTATCAGTGCAATAAGGTACAATAATGCATTTTAAAAACCCAACTCAGCAGCCCCTGTTTTTCATCCTCACAACACTAAAATCACAAATGGTGTGTAACCTAAAGCACATCCCTCTCTCCCAAAAACCCAACAGTCAATCAAATCTGAACAAAGAATGACACATCGACATATAACAATCCAAAGAGAAAACCAAAACTAACAAAGGATTCAATTGCATTAGTGAGATACATTGGATTATGGGTCATGGTTTTTCAAATTGGTGTAAAGTCACATGGTAATCATGTGAATTTTGTGCTGCTGTGTGCATCCCCTTGGGACAACTTTAATCCAGTGTTAAGCTTAGTTTTAGGTTAATCCGAGGAACTCACTGCCTCTCACAGGCACTCACCACAACTGAAGCAATGTTATTTTTAATATTTGTTTAATTTTTTTATTTATTTCAAAATGGAATAGCACTAGTTTAGTATTACAGATACACGCGGACATATGCTCCCACACTGCACACATTGATCAATCCCATTGGAGTCCTGTGGAAGGTGCTCCCTGACTTACCTCTTACGATTTCCTTCGCCAGCATTTCTCTCTCCCTCTTCCCCTCCATTTCTTGCAAGCCTGCCACAGATAGGTGTTCCTATGAAGTTGAGGCAGGATGGGGAGAAAGAGGGGAGGAAGATGTCTGGAAGCCGATCAGAGACTCCCCTTTCAGTAATTTTTTTTAAATGACAGCAACCTCCTCTCCATGCCTGAAAACTACTCTGCTGGTGTGGCTGCTTTGGGGGTGGTGCAGCAGCAGGGGAACTCCTAATTTTTTTAAAAAAATAGTTCAAATATACTACTACATTGCATAAACACTTATACAATATGTCACTTAAACTTTTAAAAAAATAGATATTGAAAATATTTATGCCCCCCATTACCCTGCAACCTGAAAACCATGATGCTGACATCCAATACCTAACAAACCCCACAGACACAATTTACTATGTCAGAGGTGTTAACATATTGCCAAAACCATTCAAAAGAAATTGCTTTCACAAGCGAGCTATAACAAATGAACCCTCAAGCAGTTGATTAAAATGCTTTGATTAATGATAAAAAAATGCTTTCCATCAAAACAAATCCATACTCCCCTGTGCATCATGTAGTTAGCATTTGAAACATCTAATCGAAACATGTTAACCCTAATTCAAAAGCAGGTTTCTTTCCAAGCGTAACTGAGCTCAAACACAAGAAACAGCATGTTTGGGTTTCTTTTTAAAATGTTGCCAAATGATATTTACCAGGATTATTTGATAGACAGGACGAAAGTCAAACTGGTACAAAACCAGTGTAAGTAGGCCATGCAGACAAACCCCAACAATCCTTCCCTGAAAAGTTTAAAATGTGTTGATGTGAAAGCACCTATAACTACTGCAATTTTCTACAATTACAAGATGTGGTGGTGATGATTACTTGCAACTGCTAAAAGGAGGGATTGGGCAAATTCTCGCATCATAAAGTTATCATTGGCTACTCGTCAAGATGGCTGTATGCCCATGGATCAGAGAAATCATGCTTCTGAATAAATGCCAATTGCTTAGGAACACTTATGTCCTGCTCTTTGGCTTCTCAGGAGACTTATAGATGGCTACTGAAGGAATACGATGTAAAACTAGACAGGCCTTTGCTCTGATCTGGTAGGTCTCTTTTTTATGTACTTATGCTAAAAGCAGTTGGAGAAGAAACATGAGAATGGGGTTGTTGAAATCACAGTTAAACAGCTCTGTGGGTTAAGAAGGAAAAGTTTAAGAGGGGAGAATGCATTCATTTCCAAAGGGATCAGGGGCATCCGTCGTCCTGGGATGTCTCTGATCATCAGGACTGACTGAGCTCTGCAGAAACTGATTCTGAACACCACTGCTTCAGGAAATAAATTAAAAGGAGGAAAATACTGAAAAAAACAGACTGTATTTATCTCTTGTCACATCCTTTTTCCAATTTCTTTACCAGCTGCTCCCCTTTATTGCACTGCAACAACAACAAAAAATCTGGAAGGAGAGAAGGAAATTCACATAATCCAGGAAGATAAAATATGTCCCTCTTTTAATTAAATCCAACCTACTCCCATCACTTGCTCCTCTTAAATTAAACTGCCACTTACTCTGTCTGTTCCATTCAACGGCGGAGATAAAGATATTTCACTCTAGCAAATATGATTCACACTCTTGCTCTGAGGTAAAAAAAAAAAAGGGAGAAGGGAAATAACGCAAGACAGAGCAATCTTGCCAACAGAGTTTGCATTACTGCCGGCCAAAGAAACTTCTTGTTGATGGACTCACATCTTGTATCCTTCACTATTTTTTCTGTAGTATCTTAGGGTGCCCTCTCTTCTCTCCCATCTTTTGCAAACAGAAATAAGAAAGACTTAGGTCAAAATTCTGTAGGGATGAATTTTGTGCATAGGGACAAAGCATTTTTTCTCACACTGTTTGCCATCCACTGTGCAACTGAGCATGTGAGGTAGGGGAGCAACTACTTCCCTGACCAGTGGAAGCTGAGGAGCACGACCGCCATCTTGCAGCGCAGGTGGACTCACTTGCATGACTACCTACTTATACGGCTTTAATGGTTAAAATACTGGGCCAGGCACATGGCTTGGCTGTTATGCAAACCACTAACTGCTTCTCTTTTCACATGCTATAAGTGGAAGTTAAAAATGGAACTCAAAGAGTATCTAGTCCAAGGCCCTGCTGGTATAAGAAACCTACTACTGCAACAAGCCAAGAAAATGTGTCTGAAAGCGTAGGGAGGGGTGAAATGCAGGAGATGTGGTGAGGATTTCAAGTGGGCCGCTAGAAGGAAAGGAGGCCAGACCATTGGTTGTCTTTCCCTTCTATCAGTTTGGAATCTAGCCAAAGGAGCTGTGTGACAAAGGCAGAGACCATCAAGCTTAAGGATTCTTTTTAATGGCAGGTCAGTTGCAGAAAAATCTTCAGTTGTAGAGGATTTGATTCTGGATGAAGGTGCTGCCTTGATTTGTATCATAGGGATCTGGTTGAGAGGGAGTCTGTCTCACCCTCCTCTGTAGACTAAACTATTCAATGGTACACAAGGCCAGGCTGGATGGGAGAGGGAGTCTGTCTCACCCTCCTCTGTAAACTATTCAGTGGTACACAAGGCCAGGCTGGATGATTGAAAGGTTGCAGTCTACAAACATCCAGTCTTACGAACCATATGTTCCATCCAGCAGTCAACCAATTTTGAGATGGCGCTGCTGTGGCTCGGTGACCAAGGCAGTGTTGGGATTCTGTTGGCATACCATCTACTCTGCTTCCCAAAGTTCCCCTCCTTTAACTATTGGGAGCAATTTCTGGTGCAGTGCTGGACGAGCCCAGGCTTTTTGTTCTGGGTGACTTCAACATTCATACTGAATTTGCTCAGCTAGGAGTTGCTTAGGATTACATGTTCACCACGACCCTGTTCCAGGTGGTGGTTGGCACCACACATGTGGCAGGGCATACTTCAGGTCTGATATATTTGTCTGGTGAAAATTGTGAACTGAAGGTGGAGGGGTTACATATGACTCTGTTGCCATGGACAGATCACTAGCTGGCTAATTTTAGACTGGCATCTGGTGTGAACCTCTGTAGGGGTGGTGGACTGATTAAGAGTTTGCTCCAGGTGCCTGATGAATCCTAATGGTTTCTTGAATGCACTTGGGGAAGCTTTCTACTTTGTTTATCGATGGTACTGTCGAAGCACTGATTGATTGGTGGAATATGGGAAGGGCAGTTTAAAATACTGCTGCTAAGTGCCTTCTCTACCTACAGAGCTGGGTCAGCTTTCTGGTTCCAAGGGGAGCTGAGAGCAATGAAAGAAAAAGGCCAGAGGCCAGAACAACATTGGAAGATGGCTGAAATCGTATACTGCAAAGGCAAGACTACTAAGAAAGCCTATGCCTATGTCTCTCTTATACTATTGCTTCTGCACCTAGTAGACCAACAGTGCTTTCCCACCCTGTGCAAGACCTCCCTTACCCGGGTACTGGGCATTGAGAGACAGAACAATGAGTTCCTCACCGTGAACAGTTTACCATGTGCTTTGCAGACAAGATGAATCAAATCTACCTTGACTTGGACTCTAGTATTGAGGCAAGTCACGTTGATGTAACTTTGGCAACCACTTGTCTTTTTAGCAGAGGATCTGGAGGATGTGGACAGTGCGTTTGGCATGGTTAGTGCTATCACCTGCTCTCTCAATCCTTGCTCCTTCTAACTAATCTGCCATGGTGGAACTGATGCAATGGCTAAGGAGCGGGACAAATACTTTCTTAAAGGAAGGATTGATCTCTTCCTGCCTAAAAGAAACTGTAATAAAACCATTCTTAAAGAAACTTGCCCTTGAGCCAAAAGTTTTAACTATAGGCCATTCATCCATGCCTTAGTTACAGCACATCACACTTTGACTACTACATGGAGCCATCCTTGAAGAGGGTCCAACATTTTCAGTTAATGTAACATGTGGTAGCTAGGCCTCTATCTGGGGCCTGGTATCATTCATGATCATATGATCCCAATACTGAAAGAACTGCACTAGTTAGCAATTGCTTACCAACCTCAATTCAAGATGCTGGTCTCTACCTGGCTAAGGGAACACCTGCCTTGTTATGAGCCTGTCCATACATTAGGACTGTCAGGAGAGGCTCTATTAAAAATATCAACAATTTTAGAAGCCCGTTTATCAAGTAAATGTGGCTCCTAGACCATGGAATGGCCTTCCAAGTTGCAATCTGTTTCCACGCTGA